ACAAAAACAAGGTGTTGTTAGTGCCATCATCACACTCCTCAGACCAATAAGAGGGTTAGTTCACCCCAAAAATGAACATTTCCTGCTAATCTACTCTCCGGCAGGTCGTGTTTTACTCTCCTGTGGGTGAGTAAATGACCAGGGAATCTTCTTTTTTGTGTGAACTAACCCTTTATCACTATTGCTGTTAAGTCTCAGTTTAGTTTGCTCTAAATCTTGGTTTTAGCTAACATGACGGCAGCTTGACTTTAGTAACTCTTTGTTGTTATGGTATTTTTAAACAGCCCAGCTAAACAACCCAGAATTTGAGGAACCTGAACTGAAACTTAACCAGCTAGCAAGCTAATTAGGCTTAAAACCCAGAATTTGAGCAAACTACACTGAAACGGAACTAGTTAACAAGCTAATTCAGATTAGCGGTACAGTTCCCAGAACACTTCCCACCTTCATCTGATCAAACTTCTGCACAGAAGATGAGTGTTGAGACTTTACATTCATCAGTATGTGCAAACACAACCTGAATATAGTCTTAGCTAAACATTGTTGAACTTTAACCTGGGGGTACTAGTATTAGTAAACAAAAACAAGGTGTCGTTAGTGCCATCATCACACTCCACACCCCAAAATGTAATCTACTCACGGGCAGGTCGTGTTTTACTCTCCTGTGTGTGAGTAAATGACCAGGAAGTCTTCTTTTTTGTGTGAACTAGCCCTTTATCATATTGCTGTTAAGTTTCAGTTTAGCTTGCGCCAAATCTTGGTTTTAGCTAACATGACGGCAGCTTGACTTTAGTAACTCTTTGTTGTTATGGTATTATTAAACAACCCAGAATTTGAGGAACCTGAACTGAAACTTAACTAGCTAGCAAGCTAATTGGGCTTAAAACCCAGAATTCAAGCAAATTAAACTGAAACTTAACTAGCTAGCAAGCTAATTCCGATTAGCGGTGCAAGTCCCAGAACACTCCTCACCTTAAGCAGATCAAACTTCAGCAGAAGAGGAGCGTTGAGACTTTAAATTCATCAGTATGTGCAAACACAACCTGAATATAGTCTTAAGTAAACATTGTCGGACTTTAACCTGCTGGTACTAGTATTAGTAAACAAAAACAAGGTGTTGTTAGTGCCATCATCACACTCCACAGACCATTAGAGGGTTAGTTCACCCCAAAAAGGAACATTTCCTAATAATCTAATCACCCGCAGGAAATGTTTTACTCTCCTGTGGGTGAGTAAATGACCAGGGAATCTTCATTTTTGTGTGAACTACCCCTTAAAAACTATTGCTGTTCTGGCGTGTTTGACTTCCAGTATGTGCAAAGCCAGAATGTATTTATTTTGTCTCGGTCACGAGTCGTGAGAAAGACTGAAGTGTCGATTAATTTTGCTTCGTGAAATTATGCTTGTGTGTTTTTACCAGCATAAACGGGACTCCACATTCCCTGTACAGTCCCATGAGTTGCATTTTCAGAGCCAGTTTGAAGAAGAAAAGCTTTTGTTTCATAAAAGTGTGAGTGTGAAACATTTTGGGTGTTCAATTCCTCACACCACTAGAAAACATTCAGCTAATGAACATATTTCACACACTTCCACACAGAAATCACAGTTCTGTCATGTGTTTTTAACTTCATGTTTACCTCCGAACATTTTATTTATGGAACATAATTCGTAGAATATTAGGAACTGTTTAGTAAGTTTAAGTTGAGGGAACTCAAAAATCACCAATACAGTAGTCAACCTTTTAAGTGGATCAAAATATTGTAATTGTTTAATTTATGATTAATGTAATACAAAATTTATAAAAAAATGATGGCATATATTGTACAAATAGGAATATATTTCAACATGCATACCTAATATAATAAATATGAAATTCATATATATTGTGCAAAATTAATATATTAATGTTTAAAAAAATCTTATTTAAGTATAATAATATTTGTACATTGTGAATTATATTTATGCATTTATTATTTAATATATAATTTATTCATGTTAAAACTTATTCATATTTATAGAAAATGTGTATTATAATATATTTCAACACACATAAATAATATAAAAAAGAAATGTATAAATAATGATAGTGTACATTGTACAAATATTTATATATTTTGATACACATTTTGTAAAAATATGAATATATTTAAATATATTGAATATTATAATATATTAATATTTAAATATATTAATATTGTAACAAATTAATATACTTCAACATACCAATATTGTAAAATATGAATAATTTCAATACATATTTTGTGAGAATATCAATATATTTTAACACAAAAAAATATATAATAAAATAAACAAAAATGTATAAGTAATAGTAATGTGTATTGTACAAATATTAAAATATTTTAATACACACCTGTGTTGAAATATATTGATATTTTTACAACATGCACCATCATTTCTACATTTCAATGCATATTTAGTAAAACATTAATATATTTCAACACGCATGAATAATAAATAAATGTATAAATATAGTGTATATTGTACAAATAATATATTTCAATACACATTTTGTGAAAATATTAAAATACAATACATTCATATTGTAAAAAATATTAATATATTCAACAAAACTAATATAATAAATATTGGTATTTTTACAACATACACCATCCCTATTTGTACATTTCAATGCATATTTTGTAAAAATACTAATATATTTCAACACACATTAAATAAATGTATACATATTGTTAGTGTAAATTGTACAAATAATATATTTCAGTATACATTTTGTGAAAACATGAATGTATTTTAATATATTAATACTGTAACAAAAATATGAATACATTTCAAGACACATAACTAATATAAATAAGAAATGTGTAAATAACTATGGTGTATATTGTACAAATATTAATATATTTCAATACACATTTTGCTTTTATGAAAGGTTTTGATCCACTTCAGATGTTGACTGCTTTACATTTATTTTGAGAAATGTCACACATTAGGATCAAGATGAAGGTGAGTACATGATAGAATCACATGTTTTTGGGTCAACTGACCTTTAAACAAGTGAACAAATGTGTGTGAGTTTTGTCTGTCATGAAACTCAATAAAGCCCCAAGTGTGTGAGTTTAACGTCAGTGTCCTCTGCTGGATGCAGGCTGTAACTGCAGCCTCATAACTATACAGGATGACTGTAGCAGAACACTGCATTTTGCTTTTCAACCCATGACTACTTCTCATAAGAGATGTTTGCAAGTACCTAATTTAATAACGTTTTGAAAACTTGCGTAAAGTCAGGTTAATATGGCAAACCATTTAAACATTTATTATTATTTGAACATTTAACTATTCATTAGACTAATATTACACTTTTAGGCCTTCATTAGGCGCTAGTTTTTAGATACTAGTGATTTATTATTTCACAAAATATAATTATTACACACTAGTTCATTGCACTAGATTGTGTTTATTAGCTGCTACTTCTTAATCCTTAGACAGAATCTAATTTAAACAGAAACTACTCATTAATTGCTGCGATCGGACAGGTAACTAATTGAAAACAGTCACATACTGAACACACACACACACACACACAAAACTAGTAGCCAATGAAGAAGTACTAGTGGGAAAATATGCTAGTGTCTAGAAAATAACTACCCCTAGCATGACAATTAGACGCTAGTATGTTTCATAGATTAAATGTGATAAATAATTGAATATTTCAGGGATCAAATAATAAACAGGCTTGCCATAATTGACTTCAGTTTCCCAAGATGCATCAAAATTACAGGTCATCTTACAATTTCAACAACAACAAAATAGTTTGGTTTGGGTGTGTTTTTTTCCTAGCTTGAAGGGATAGTTCATAAAAATGAAAATGACCTCATCATTTACTCTCCATCATGTGGTTTTTATGAAGTTCTTCCGTTGAATGCAAAAGAAGATATTGTGAAGAATGCTGGCACTCATCGACTTCAATAGCACCAAACGAAATGGCTATGAAAGACAATGGGTACAACATTCTTCACAATATCTTCCTTTGTGATTGTTTTGGGTAAACTATCCCTTTAAGCGTCAACATACATTTCAGGTCTTGGGATCTGAATTTCCTGCTACATCTAGAAAGTAACAGAGCTGTTATCTGACAGGCTTTCTAAACCTTTTTCAACAACAAAACAGTTTGGTTTGGGTGTTTTTTCCTAGCTTAAAGGGATAGTTTACTCTAGAAATGACAATTCCCTCATCATTTACTCTCCATCATCTGGTTTTTATGAGTTTCTTTCTTCTATTGAGCACAAATGAAGATATTTTGAAGAATGCTCACTTGTATCAACTTCAAGCAGGAATAAAAGACTGGAAGTCAATGGGTACAACATTCTTCAAAGTATCTTCTTTTGCATTCAATGATAATTGAATCTTTTTTTTAGTGTGAACTATCCCTTTAAGTGTCAACACTCTTCAGATCTGGATTTCCCGCTATATTTAATAAGTAACAGCTGTTATCGGACAGGTTTCCTAAACATAACTAATTGTAAACAGTCAGATCCTGAACACAATTACACACAAAAAACTAGTAGCCAGTGAAGAAGTACTAGTAGTGGGAAAATATGCTAGTGTCTAGAAAATAACTACCCCTAGCATGACAATTAGAGGCTAGTATGTTTTATAGATTAAATGTGGTAAATAATTGAATATTTCAGAGATCAAATAATAAACAGGCTTGCCATAATTGACTCCGGTTTCCCAAGATTTATCACAATAACAGTTCATCTTACAATTTCAACAACAACAACAAAATAGTTTAGATATGATTCTTCTGTTAAACACTAAAGAAGATATTGTGAAGAATGCTGGCACTCATTGACCTCAATAGCTGGAAAGAAATGCCTATGAAAGTCAACATTTGTTGTTATATATTTCAACATTCTTCTAAATATCTTCTTTTGTGTTCAATGATGACAGAATTTTCCATTTTTTGGTGAACTATCCCTTTTGGTGTCAACACACTTTTCAGGGGATCTGGATTTCCTGCTGTATTTAATAACAGAACTGTTTCTTAGACAGGTTTCCTAAAAGTAACTAATTGAAAACAGCCATATAATGAACACAAAATTTGAGGGTTCAAATGCTAAAATGGCTTGCCATAATTACAATTTCAACAACAAAACAGTTTGGTTTGGGTGTTTTTTCCTAGCTTAAAGGGATAGTTCACCCAAAAAAATGAAAACAACCTCATTGTTTACTCTCCATCATGTGGTTTCTATGAGTTTCTTCCTTCAGTTGAATGCAAAAGAAGATATTTTGAAGAATGCTCACACGTATCAACTTCAAAAGCAGGAAAAAAATGACTATGGAAGTCTATGGGTACAACATTCTTCAAAGTATCTTCTTTTGCATTCAATGATAATTGAATCTTTTTTTTAGTGTGAACTATCCCTTTAAGTGTCAACACTCTTCAGATCTGGATGTCCTGCTATATTTAATAAGTAACAGCTGTTATCGGACAGGTTTCCTAAACATAACTGATTGAAAACAGTCAGATCCTGAAAAAACACAAAACAAAAACATCTACAAGAGGTGGAAGCATTTATTTATGCAGCTTATGCACTTTGTACCAGATAGAAAGCTTGATTTTTTTTTTGTCTTACACTCTTTCTGTTCAAAATCATCTATATTACAGTGTAGAAAAATAAACCCACAGGACACAGAAAGATGATGACGTGATCACAGGTGGCATTCCGACAGTCTGATGAGAATCCAGTATTCATTACACCCTCGGCTAGTCAAACTCAATGTAGTAACAATAAAACTACGCCTCGACTTGTAACAGTTGTGTATTTCTGTGGCATATCCAGCGCACGAAAGCCGTAACGCTCCAATAAAAAAACAAAAACAAGACACAGAACGTACTGATCAAAATCAAACACGGAGTTTCACTCTCGGGTTTACAGAATTAGCAAAATGGTTTTAACCAACAAGCTATTCTACTTAGTAGAAAACGAGTACAAAAGTTAACATACGTCTTTCCCCCTTAAAGCTATGCTAATAGTTGTGTATAAAATAATTCATTTGTACATTTATAAACCACCTTCCCTCTTTTTTCCGGTAAAAATATATAGTGCTCAATATCACTCAGACTGTACAAAGCTCCAGCAAAACGACCCGTTTCGCACCACGAGTACTTTTAAAAATATAATAGGAAATCCTTTTAAAAGCACTATTCGTGCCACATTAGCAGCTAACGTTATAGGCATCTAAATATTTATATATCCCTTAGCAATTCGAGCCCCTACAGTGGTCATAAAACACAATTAAAACAAATAAAATTGTGGTCTGCGATACAGACAGCCATATTCATCATCTTTCATGACAATCTTACAGAAAACACTGCAAAATATATAGATTCTCAATCAGCATTCTGTCACGATTTACATTTTAATCATTCTTGAAATGACGATTTTGGAAGCACTAATAAATGATTATATGAATTATCTGTGCTTATTACACTGAAAAATGCAAATATATTAATTTATATTGATGTTTAAGGCATATCTTGAAGCATTTTCAGTTTTAAGGTTGTCTGCATTTCTTTTGTAAACAAACAACTGACAAAATACTGATTGAAATATATCATTTTGTGTGTAAACGCTCTACTTAAAGGAATACTCCACTCCTTTTTTGGGAAAAGGGCTCATTTTATATCTCCACTAGAGTTAAACTGTTGAGTTTTACCATTTTTGAATCCATTCAGTTGATATTTGGGTCTAACGGGAGCACTTTTAGCTTAGCTTAGCATAAATCATTGAATCGGATTAGACCATTAGCATCTCAAAATTTTGAAAAAACGTTTTGATAATTTTGTTATTTAAAGCTTGACTCCTCTGACTCCTCTAGTAGATTGTTCCTTTCAATATGACCATTTTTTAATTCATTCAGTCGATCTCCAGGGTTAACAGGAGCATTTTTAGCTTAGTTTAGCTTAGCACAGATCATTAAATCAGATTAGACCATTAGCATCTCGCTCAAAAATTTCAAAAACATTTTGATAATTTTGCTATTTAAAGCTTTATTCCTTTGTAGTTAGTGAGCGAGAGGCTAATGGTCTAATCTAATTCAATGATCTATGCTAAGCTAAGCTAAAAGTGCTCCTGTCAGATGCAGAAATTGGCTAAACAGATTAAAAAATGCTAAATCATCCACTATTTAACTGTAAAATGAACCTATTTAAAAAAATAAAAGTGGCGTGTTCCTGTAAATATGACCATTTTTGAATCCATTCAGCTGATCTTTGGGTCTAACTGGAGCACTTTTAGCTTAGCTTAGCATAGATCATTGAATTAGATTAGACCATTAGCATCTCGCCCAACAATTTCGAAAAAGTTTTGATAATTTTGCTATTTAAAGCTTGACTCCTCTGTAGTTAGCAAGCAAGATGCTAATGGTCTAATCCGATTCAATGATCTATGCTAAGCTAAGCTAAAAGTGCTCCTGCCAGACACAAAAACTGGCTGAACAAATTTCAAAATGTTAAATCTCCACTTTTTAACTGTAAAACAAGCCTATTTCCAAACAAAGTGGAGTGTTCCTTTAAATATGACAATTTTTTAATCCTTTCATCTGATCTTCGGCTTCTGGCGGGAGCACTTTTAGCTTAGCTTAGCATAGATCATTGAATCAGATTAGACCATTAGCATCTCGCTCAAAATAATTCCAAAAAACATTTAATAAATTTGCTATTTAATGCATCTATAGTTAGTGAGTGAGATGCTAATGGTCTAATCTGATTCAATGATCTATGCTAAGCTAAGCTAAAAGTGCTCCTGACAGATGCAGAAATTGGCTGAATGGATTTAAAGATGGTAAATCTCCACTATTTAACTGTAAAATGAGTGTTCCTTTCAATATATAATCAATATTCAGCTCATTTCGGTGTAAAGTAGATCTCATAAGCAGCTTTGTTAGTGTTATTAATGAGTTACTGACCATGTTTGTTTCTAGTATCTCCTTTAGATTTGCTGGTGTGTGTGTGTTTGTGTTTTAAGGAAGTGGGAACAGTTTGGAGTGTGTGTCGAGCATTAATGTGAGGAAATGTTTGATCAGCACACTGAGTCGGTGCTGGCTGGAAGGCGTCCGCTGCGTCTGGCCTCTTTCTCCCGCTTCTCCCGCTGTTTCTCCATCTTCTCCTGGGCTTTCTTCATCTCCTTCAGTTTCTTCTTGATGGTGGCTCGGTCGGTTTGACTGCACACGCCCAGAGCCTGCGTTTCATAGCACACAAGATGCACAATTAGTTTTTAACGTCTGATTAGTACCGAACTTGGTACTTTTGAGTATCTAAAAGTAACAGGTCAGAACAGAATATCTTGTGTTATATATAAAAATCTGGAATAATCAGAATAAAAATCCCCACCGGTTTAGAACCACGCGAGGGCGATGTTGAGGGACTTTTTGGGTAAACTTTCCCTTTTAAATGTTGCATGAGGAATATAGAGTTGTTTTGTATCGAAACTAAATGAATTTTTTTGCTAAAGATATTATCAAACAAACAAAACAAGGCTTTTTTTTATTTATTTTTTTAAATATTCTTACATTCTCAAACAAACATCTGTGTTCAAAGAAAGCAGCAAAGTCATAAACCATCATATATGTACATGTTTGGTCAACCTTCAGTTTAATCATGAAGGAATGTACCTCTTTTTTGTGGAAATGAGCTCATTATACCGAGTTTAACAGTCGGGTTTTACCATTTCAGCACTTTTAGACCACTGAATCCAAAATGTTTTGATAATTTTCCTATGTTAATGCTTGACTCTTCTCTACACCATGCACTAAGACCAAACAATTTTAAAAGTTGCTATTTTCTAGGCTGATAAGACTAGGAGCTACACTCACCGGCCACTTTATTAGGTACACCTGTCCAACTCCTCGCTTATGAGGCATGTAGACATGGTCAAGACGATCTGCTGCAGTTCAAAGCGAGCATCAGAATGGGGCAGAAAGGGGATTTAAGTGACTTTGAACGTGGCATGGTTGTTGATGCCAGACAGGTATTTCAGAAACTGCTGATCTACTGGGATTTTCACGCACAACCATCTCTAGGGTATGCAGAAGAGCTGTGAACACACAACACGTCTAAACTGAGGCGGATGGGCTACAGCAGCAGAACACCACACCGGGTGCCGCTCCTGTCAGCTAAGAACAGGAAACTGAGGCTACAATTCACACAGGCTCACCAAAACTGGACAATAGAAGATTGGAGAAACGTTGCCTGCTCTGATGAGTCTCCATTTCTGCTGTCACATTCAGATGGTCGGGTCAGAATTTGGCATCGACAACATGAAAGCATGGATCCATCCTGCCTTGTATCAGCGGTTCAGGCTGGTGGTGTAATGGTGTCGAGGATATCTTCTTAACACACTGGGCCCATTAGTACCAGTTGAACATCATGTCAACACCACAGCCTACCTGAGTATTGTTGCTGACCATGTCCATCCCTTTATGAGCACAGTGTCTCCATCTTCTGATGGCTACTTCCAGCAGGATAACGCACCATGTCATAAAGCGTGAATCATCTCAGACTGGTTTCTTAAACATGACAATGAGTTCACTGTGCTCAAATGGCATCAATAGTCACCAGATCCCAATCCAATAGAGCACCTTTGGGATGTGGTGGAACGGGAGATTGGCATCATGGATGTGCAGCCGACAAATCTGCAGAAACTGCGTGATGCTATAATAAGGAGCAAAATCTCTGAGGAATATTTCCAGTACCTTGTTGAATCTGTGCCACGAAGGATTAAAGCATTTCTGAAGGCAAAAGGTGGTCTAACCCGGCACAAGTAAGGTGTACCTAATAAAGTGGCCGGTGAGTGTATACTCTCATTCTGGTGTAATAATCAACGAACTTTGTTTCACTGATTTGACGTCCTATGACAGAGGAGTCTGTCTGGGTAGGATTGAGGGTTGGCTCCGCCTTAATCCTAATTGTAATAGAACACGGCTGTTATTTACTTCTCTGGACCCTTATAGCTGGCATTTTGAGGAGGCTGCTGCTTTGTGCTGGACTTTTCAGTGTCGATTTGCTATATTTAGTTATTACATCCAACATTGCTACACTACATTACATATTCATGTATGCACCTTCAATTGAAACACCTCTGATTTCTGACTGCTACATTTACATATTTTTGCTTTAAGTTGTTTAAAACTGTTACTTTAATTAATTATGTTATATGATTAAGGCTTTCTTGGGTGTCCAACTCTTCTTTGTTGCATCCTTGTGAGCCATGGGGCATAACAAATGGGGGCTCGTCCGGGATCGTAATGGAATTTTGCATTTGAAATGGGTAACCAAGTTCATTCATTCATTTTCTTTACAACTTAGTCTTTCATTAATCAGGGGTTGCCACAGCGGAATGAACTGCCAACTTATTCAGCATATGTTTTCTGCAGCGGATGCCCTTCAAGCTGCAACCCAGCACTGGGAAACATCCATACACATTCATTCACACACATACACTATGGACAATTCAGCCAACCCAATTCATCCATAGCGCATGTCTCGCATGTGGGGGAAACCCAGAGGAAACTCACGCCAACACAGGGAGAACATGCAAACTCCACACAGAAATGCCAACTGACCCAATCGAGGCTCGAACCAGTGAGCTTCTTGCTGTGAGGCGCCAGCACTACCCATCTCTGCTCACCTTGAGTCTGTCGCTGTCCAGGTTGAGAAGCTGCTGTCCATCAATGGCCTGCGTGCTGAACTCAGGTGTGTACTGATCCATGTTCATCCCCATCAGCCAATGACAGACCTGCTGGGATGTCCAATCAGAAACCGGACGATTCTGCCAATGATAATCCTTCCCTCCAGAACTCGACTCCTCATCCAGCATCTATTGCAGACACACACACAGACCGCAGGTGAATCCCATTGAAAACTGTTGTATTAGTAAACATTCATCTGAATAAGTGAGCACATCAGGGGACATGGCAGAACTCGAAAACAATCAATCCAAAGAAAACAAATGATTTAAAGTTCGCCCTATAATTTACTGAAAAAGAACGCTCTAAATATTTTTGTAAATAGACTCATTTTGCATCTCCACTCGAGTTTTTGTATCCATTCAGCCGATCTCTGAGTCTAGCGGGAACACTTTTTAGCTGAGCATTGAATCAGATTAGCATCTCTTAGCATTAGCAGACTCTTCTGCTGCTATGCTGTGTTCACACCTGACGCGGCACGCATGAATAAATTCGAGCATAAGTAGACAAGTGAACATTTTAAGTTTACTCGCTTCATTCCCGCGTCAAATTCACTTCATAATAGATGCAGATTTAAGTCATGGGCAGGGAATCTGTCTACCCGCTGACTCTGGCTTTGTTGCTAAATGGCTAACATAGATTTTAATGAGATAGTAGCTGTGCTTTATGTGCTGTAGGAAGGCTGAAAAACAGCGCAGATTCATTCGGCGCTATGCCTGAGTCCACTCAGTGCCGGAGCAAGCTGAACTGCCGCTGTAGGCAGAGGACGATCATGCCGCCCTCAACCTCAATGTGAAAACGAAAGTGACCGGTTATGAAAATGAAGTGAGGTGTCGCGGACCTCTTTTCTGCCGCCCTATGCGCAGATATAACTGAGGACGCGCTGGTGCTGAGGGAGGTGTCACGGACACCGCGCTCAATATTCTGCCGCCCTATGCGCGGATATAACTGAGGATGCGCGGGTGCTGAGGGAGGTGCCGCGGACACCGCGCTCAATATTCTGCCGCCCTATGCGCGGATATAACTGAGGATGCGCGGGTACTGAGGGAGGGAGGTGTCGCGGACACCGCGCTCTCTATTCTGCCGCCCTATGCGCGGATATAACTGAGGATGCGCGGGTACTGAGGGAGGGAGGTGTCGCGGACACCGCGCTCTCTATTCTGCCGCCCTATGCGCGGATATAACTGAGGACGCGCGGGTGCTGAGTGGGTGGGAGGTGTTGCAGACACCATGCTCTCTTTTCTGCCGCCCTAAGCGCAGATATAACTGAGGACGCGCGGGTGCTGAGGGAGGTGTCACGGACACCGCGCTCAATATTCTGCCGCCCTATGCGTGGATATAACTGAGGACGCGCGGGTGCTAAGGGAGGGAGGGAGGTGTCGCGGACACCGCGCTCTCTATTCTGCCCCCCTAAGCGCAGATATAACTGAGGACGCGCGGGTGCTAAGGGAGGGAGGGAGGTGTCGCGGACACCGCACTCTCTATTCTGCCGCACTAAGCGCAGATTTAACTGAGGACGCGCGGGTGCTGATGGAGGTGTCGCTGACGCCGCCCTCTCTATTCTGTCGTCTATGCGCGAATATATCTGAGGACGCGGGTGGTGAGGGAGGAGTTGCGGACATAACTGAGGATGCGGGTGGTAAGGGAGGTATCACGGATGCCACCCTCTCTATACTGCCGCCCTAGGCGGCCACCTAGGTCGCCTCAATGGACGTGCCGGCCCTGAGTCCACTAGATCCTTATTTCAGAAGTGCACCCAGCTCTGTAAGTACATCTTCTGGCTTCTGACTGAGCTGAGGCCAGTTTTGATGAGCTGTGTCAACACCAACAACAGGCACTACATCATAATCACGCCCATAAAAGAGTAAGCTTCTCATTGGTTAACGCGGCACGAATGCCTGTTGACCTCGAGCGTTCAATTCGTGCATCAAAGAATGTGATCAACTCGTGCTGATTCATTTAAGCAAATCACATAATTCGCATCGCCTCATTTGCGCGAATTGCGTCGCAGGACGTCTTTGCATTGACTGAACATGTAAATGACTCGTGCTTAACGTTTCATCCACATCTGGTGTGAACGCAGCATTACATCGTGTACAAAGACTGACAGAAAATATGACTGATATGACTAGGAACTATTCTCTCATTCTGGCGTAATGATCAAGGAACTTTGCTGCCGTACCATTGGCTGCAGTAGGCGCAATGATATTACACAGCACCTGAAAATAATCCCCAGCTATGTAACCAACAGCGCTGCACACAATAGAACTGGGAAAGAAGAGTCAAAGTTTAGGAAAATTATCTAAACACTTTTTTTTGTGTGTGAGATGCTAATGGTCTAATCTGATTCAATGATTTATGCTAAGCTAAGCTAATAGTGCTCCCGCCAGACCCGGAGATCGTCTAAATGGATTCATAAATGGTAAAACTCAACTGTTCACCTCTAGGGGAGCTGTAAAATGAGCTTAATTCCCAAAATAACAGTGTAGTTCCTTCAAATTTTTACAAAAATCCTTTCTATATGAAAAAAAAAACGTTTTGACCCTTAAAAACCAACAACAAAACAAAATCTACTATAATAACGTCATTAATGAAAAACAATCAACACTTTGTGCACACCATGCATGGTGAATGCAGTGATTGTCATGCATTTGATCCTCTCATTCATGCAAAACAAACAGGCAGAGTGACACACATGCAGGGCTTCACACTATAAACATCTACACCACAGGAACTACACGGCGCATGGCGATACTTGACCTTCCAGACACAGGAAACTCATGCATGACATGTGAACGGCGGAGATAGCGTCCCGTCTGACCTGCACTCACCTCGCTGGACGAGAAGGTTAGCGTGTGAGAGCGGCCCGACAGGTTGGGCTCCACCACCAGCCCCGAAAACTCGGAAGCAGGACTGCTGGGGTTCGAGTCGTCTAGAACTGACAAACTCTGCAAGACCATCACAAAGCGGCATTTGGTTATCCAGACACACAGACTGGAGGAGATTCAGCTCTTCCCGACAAAAATTACAAGCCTCATTTTCTACCATCATTAATATGGGCTGCACAATATATCCCAAAAGTATCGTGATCGCGATAATAATACATGCATTATCGGAGATGTGTGTTATAAATGATTTATTTTATGCATTGGATGTTTATCTAAATTTGACCAATCAGATAGCGCCATGCTATCTTTAGCCCCACGGCCTCGATATTAATATCCGATTGATTCAAAATGAATAAACAATACCAGATTATATCGACCATTATATTTCATATTGGTCGGTCACACGTTAAAGAAGCACTCCGCTTTCTTTTTTAGAGAAATATTCTCATTTTACAAGAGCCCTAGTGTTAAACAATTGAGTTTTACCATTTTTCAGCTCTATTAGCTTAGCTTAGCATAAATCATTGAATCAGATTAGACCATTAGCATCTCGCTTGAAAATGACTAGTTTTGATACTAATAACTTGACTATTTTGTAGTTAAATTGTGTACTAAGACCTATGGAAAATAAAGAGCTGCTATAGTCGCTAGTGTATATATAGTATACGTCCTAGCCATATTAACCTAGCAATAGCAGCTTTTTATTTTCCGTCAGTCTTAGTACACGATGTAACTTAAAAAAACAGTATATAATAATATCATATTTTCCTATAAATTTAAAAATGATCAAAACTCTCATTGTTTAGAAATTTATGAGATGCTAATGGTCTAATCCAGTTCAATGTATTATGCTAAGCTAAGCTAAAAGTGCTCCTGTCAGGCCCGGAGATCAATTAAATGCATTCAAAAATAGTCAAACTCAAGCATTCAACACTTTCTGGTGAAATGTAAAATATTTCCAAAAGAAAAGTGTTGAGTGTTCCTTTAACCAGCTCAAACTACTCTACAACACAACAAGCACACTATACTAGATAAGCAGTGGAACACATCTACAAGCAACACTGATTTGCCTATATTTGGAGGCTTCGAACATAATTAAGAGATGAAAACCATTGATTACATACCAAAACTCTGATTTAGAAGCAGCATCATGCATCTAACGTCATCCTACTGTACATACATCAGCACTAGACACATTAGGATTGGTGTTCAGCTAGAGTTGGACTATGTTAAATGGGAGAGTCTGTAAGAGAGAATATACTGTACCAAATCTAAGGAGCGACTGAACAGAGAGGACCAGGAGAGGTTTGTCTGTTCGGGGAGAGGGTTAATAATGTGATATGACCGTCCCAAAACACACATCTGCTGGACGCATGTGTGCGATTAATGCTCACATCCACACGTCTGCAGGCTTCCTTAGCAACTCGCTGGCACAAATACACCGAGTCCAGCTGGAGGCCAGATTGAGTGTTTGCTGATTGCTGTTTAGTTTTGTCCTGTGTTCAGCAGGCTATGTTTGGCTATGTTTTGGTAAGATATTGCAAACGACTTTTTTTGATCAGTAAGCACTTTTTAAATTAATGAAATAATGACTAATAATAGGGAATAATAAGGGAATAACATTTCTAAAGGAGCTGTTGACATTGGAATGAACCGGATTTTGGTGAAAATCCAAACAATACAAACATAAAAATACAGCAAAACCAAAAAATCAAAAAAGAAGCTGTGTAATAGCAATGAAATGACACAAGGAGAAAGCACTGAACTACTGAAACGTGTTTAATACTTTATATTAGAGGCTTTTTTTTGGTGTCTGCTAGGGATGTAACGGTATCAGAATTTCACGGTACGGTAATACCTCGGTATGAATGTCACGGTACGGTATTTATTGAACCATTTACAGGAAAAACAAAACTTATGAAAATACTCCAAAAAAGTGCCAAAAGTGTCAATGACATACAAATTAGCCATCTATCTGTTAGCTTTGAAACAGGAACTTCAATTTTAATAACAAAACATTATTAAACCATGTAAAAAAAAATAAAGTTTCAATTAAGTATTGTTGAAAACTCATCACATTCAACATTTAATCACTCACTCACTTAGATAGAGATGGGTTTAAAGGAAAATTATCATATAAATATAATCTGGTAAAAGCTGGTATCTCTGGGCATTTACAATGTCCCCTGCAACAGAAAAAAAACCCTCTCATTTGGGACTGAGGTTTCTGGGACAGAGATATGACTTGGCGCAGGTTGACAGCAGTGGGTAACGTTGTGCATTGTCTTTCCTCCACTTGAGAAGACAAACCATGAGTGAGATAGAGATCTCTTTGCGGTACAAGTCAATGTCTGCATCAATCTGAACAGTGTGCTGTGTTTCTGCAGTCCCCATGACTGCTATTAGTCGTATTCCCCAACTTGCAGGCATGTGCACACATAGGGCTCAAACTGTGCAGTGTACATGCCCTTTTTAGTCTTGGATAGAAAATGCCCTTCCAAAACGATCAAAAGTGCCCCCGCGACGCGACACAACCTCCGTCCAGCCCCCCCTCGGCGCTTTACAATACGCGCACGACAACACAGCTGATCAGAACGCGCGCGACAACACTGCTATTCAGTACGCGCGCGGCGACAACACCCGCTTTAGGTTCGATCATTTCCATCTTTTTTTCATCTCCGCTACTAGCAGCACACTCCATTTCCGCATTACTGGATCTGTAGCGACAACAGACCGCAAAGGATTATGGCCACGCCTGGGCTGATGGGAAATGTAGTTTAAGCTACCTCCCGTTCGCTTCATTCGCCTGAGCAAATTTTCTCAGAAGACCTATAGTTTTACCGAGTCATGCGACTTCGGTAATATCGAAAAAAATTAATATTGCGGTATGACGGTATTTACAATACCGTTACATCCCTAGTGTCTGCAGCTTAAAGACGCCTCTCATATGGAGAATGAAGACACATGCGTTGCTCAGGTGTGAGTTGTACACAGACTTCAACAGAGTGTCAAACTCTTGATGCTTCTGCTGGTCTCGTCTATCAAATCTGAGCTTTATTTAGTATTCTCTATTGGATTCAGCTCAGGTGATTGGCTGGGCCATTCTACAGCTTGATTTTCGTTCTCTGAAAGCATCTGAGAGTCTCCTTGGCAGTGTTTTGGATTATTATCTTGCTGAAATATCCACCCTGAGTTCATCTTCATCCTCCTGCTAATGTAGATGTTGGACTGAAGCAGCTGATATTCATTTACACTGAGGAAGAGCAGAGGGATGCTAAAGAACTACTGAGAGATTTCAGCTGCTGTCTGGGATTTCCATGACCTCCCTTTCTTCATGTGTTTAATAGGTTTTCCCTGTGTCATTTTATTACACATAACTTCATTTGTAAACTAATTAGAATAGTTTTCTTTGCCTATATGGATTTCTTTGGCTTTCACCAACATTTGGTGAAAACTTCAAGTCAGCAGCACCATTTAGAAATATTTTTTCTGAGAAAACGATGACGCCTTCAATACTTATTTCCCTACTGTATGTGTGTGTATATATGTATGCACATTAAATATTCACAATATTGCTGTTACTGTTTTTTAATACAAAAAAAATCATAATTTCATTGACCTTTAACCTTTTACCTTTAACGTAAATGGTAACTTTGGCTTTTCTTTTTAAGCACAAATACACAGAAGTTAAAATCCTTTTGCTCTTTATAAACATTAGAAATATTAGACAAACAGTTATCTAACACATAAACCATACCTGCCAACACTCCCGTTTTTTCCGGGAGTCTCTCTTATCTCAGACCCATCTCCCGTATTGTTCTGTCTCCCGGAAAAACTCCCAGAATTCCACCCATCCCGCTCCTCAGCTTTTTGGTTTTTCCCGAGCCCCCGTTCTTCACTTAGCGCACCCCCCAAACCCCCTTTGCCCGCACCCCCGGATAAAATCTCCCGGATTTTATGATCCGAATGTTGGCAGGTATGACATAAACTGAGTGAATAACAGTTCTAAACACATTTTAACTTGATTACAATCTTTAGATTTTAGTTATTAAAAAGAAAAATTACAGCTCATGTAGCCGTTTTGTCCTGTTTGTAGAACACGCCATATACACACCAGCAGTGCCTAAAACAGGGCTGCGCAACCCTGTTCCTGGAGATCTACCCTTCTGGAAAGTTCAGCTCCAACCCTGATCAAACACACCTGAACCAATTAAATAGGATCTGAACAGCACTTGATAATTGCAGGCAGGTGTGTTTGATCAGGGTTGCAACTGAAATCTGCAGGAAGGTAGATCCCCAGGAACAGGGTTGAGCAGCCCTGTCCTAAAACAAACATGTTGTGTTTGAGGTCATTTACCAGGCTGAATTTTATTACTAAACACTAATATTCCTGTTTTTACAGTGCACTCAAACACTAAAGCACAAAACTTCTACGTCGCAAATTCTAGCCTTTTTAGTTTTACTACAATAACTTTTCTACAACTGAGGGTGTTGTGCTTTGAAGGAACACTCCACTTTTTTTTTTTTTTTTTTTAGAAATATGCTCATTTTATAACTCCTTTTGAGTAAAACAGATGAATTTTACCATTTTTATTTTATCCAAGTCTGACTGGAGCACTATTAGCTTAGCTTAGCATAGATCATTGAATCGGATTAGACCATTAGCATCTTGTTAAAAATGAGTTTCCATAATTTTCTAAAGTAATTCTAATTTTGTCTAAAGCTGGACTCTTTTGTAGTTTGTTGTGTACTAAGACAGACATAATAATTATTTTTTTTGTATTTTGTAGGCCGATATGGCTAGAAAGTACACTCTAATTCTGGTGTAATAATCAAAGAATTTTACTGCCGTACCATTGGCTGCATGATATTGATCTGATATTACACAGCACCTGAAAATAGTCCCAGGCTTGGTAACTTCCAATGTGACTATCTGCTTGCACAGCAAGCATTTGCCGGTAACGCTGCATAATATCATTGCGCATACTGCAGCCAATGGTGCAACAGCTAAGTTCCTTGATTATTACGCCAGATTAAGAGTATAGTTCCTGGTCACATCAGCCCACAAAATACAACTATTAACTTTCCGTCTGTTTTACTGCATGATGTAACTACAGAGGAGTCAAGCTTTAAATAGGAAGATTATTGAAACTGTTTGAGAATTTATATCAAGATGCTAATGGTCTAATCCGATTCAATGATCTATGCTAAGCTAAGCTAAAAGTGCTTCCGCAAGATTTGGAAATCAGCTAAGAATGATTGTAAAATGAGCCTATTTTCAAAGAAAAAGTGGATAAATTGAATACAATCAAATTCACGTTAAAGATTGAAGTCAAAATTTATAAGATATCATATTTCCCAAATGGTGTTTAACAGATTCAAGAAATTTTCACAGTATTTCCTATAATATTTTTTCTTCTGGAGAAAGTCTTATTTGTTTTATTTCGGCTAGAATGAAAGCAGCTTTTAATTGTTTTAAAACCATTTTAAGGTCAATATTATTAGCCCCCTTAAGCTGTATTTGTTTTCAATTCTCTACAGAACGAGCCACTGTTATACAATAACTTGCCTAATTACAATAACTTTAACCTATTTAAGCCTTTAAATGTCACTTAAAGCTGAATACCAGTATCCTGAAGAATATCTAGTCAAATATTATTAACTGTCATCATGGCAAAGATAAAAGAAATCAGTTATTAGATATGAGTTATTAAAACTATTATGATTAGAAATGTGTTGAAAAAGATCTTTCCGTTAAACAGAAATTAGGAAGAAATATTCAAGGGAGCTAATAATTCTGACTTCAACTGTATAATAGTTCTGAGAACTATTCAAAGCGGGAGAGGGCTGTGTGAGATTAAACGGTCACCTTGTTCTTGGAGTTGTGTTCAGTGCTGGCGTCTGCAGTGGCGTACGGTAGACTGCTGGATGAGGACTCTCTGTCACGCTCTTTATCCTTCTCCCCAAACCAGCTGAAGGGCATGCAGGTGGGGATGGAGGTCATGGACTCTGAGGGGGAAACACGGACCCCCGACTCCTCCAGTAACTCTGCTGAACCCCTACAAACACAAGATCAGTGTACTAATGGGTGTAACGAACAATGTTGAAATATGCACTTATAATCTGAGCAGAAATATCTTACATCAAGTAAATCATTTACATTTAAATTGTTTTAGAACTATTAGCTTTTTAACTAGACCAGGGGTGTCCAAAGTTGGTCCTGGAGGGCCGGTGTCCTGCTGATCTTAGCTCTAACTTGCTTCAGCACACCTACCTGGAAGTTTCTAGTATATCTAGTAAGAGCTTGATTAGCTTGTTCGGGAGTGTTTGATTAGGGTTGGAGCTAAACTCTCTAGGACACCAGCAATCCAGGACCGAGTGTGGACACCGCTGAACTAGACGTTCTGATGTGGCGGTCAGATCTAGATAATCTATGCTCACAAAAACTGAGGAAAAAACACACTGGGGTAAATATAAACACAGCTAATGTGCTTCCAAACAGATTTTTAGGAAATAGTTTTCACATGAACAACATTAAATGAAATTGAATCCACTATAAATGTACTCACTGGCCACTTTATTAGGTACACCTTTCCAACCGCTCTGCAAATGTCTAATCAGCCAATCACAGGGCAGTAACTCGATGCGTGTAGGCATGTAGACATGGTCAACCGAGCATCAGAATGGGAAAGAAAGATGATTTAAGTGACTTTGGCATGGCGGTTGCTGTCAGACGGTCTGGTCTGAGTATTTCAGAAACTGCTGATCTACTGTGATTTTCACGCACAACCATCTCTGAATGGTCTGAAAAATAGAAAATATCCAGTGAGCAGCAGTTCTGTGGGCGCAAATGCCTTGTTGATGCCGGAGGTCAGAGGAGAATGGCCAGACTGGTTCCAGCTGATAGAAAGGCAACAGTAAATCAAACATCCTTACAACCAAGGTCTGCAGAAGAGCATCTCTGAACCAGTGTATTGTTGCTGACCATGTCCATCTCTTTATGACCACAGTGTCTCCATCTTTTGATGGCTACCTCCAGCAGGATAACGCGCCATGTGATAAAGAGTGAATAATCTCAGACTGCTTTCTTGAACATGACAATGATTTCACTGTACTCAAATGGCCTCCACAGTCACCAGATCTCAATTCAATAGAGCACCTTTGGGATGTGGTGGAACTCGCATCATGGATGTGCAGCTGACAAATCTGCAGCAACTGATTTATGCTATCATGTCAATAAGGAGCAAAATCTCTCCAATATTTCCAGTAGCTATGCCACCAAGGATTAGGGCAGTTCTGAAGGGAAATGGGGGTCCAACTCGGTACTTGTAAGGTGTACCTAATAAAGTGGCCGGTGAGTGTATAACCATGTGATATGTGTGTACCTGCTGTCCAGTGATGCTCTGGATTCTTTGTTTAGTTTCTTCCCTTTTCCTCCAGATTTTCTTAAACCGCTGTCAAAAACAACCCAATCAGAAACATACAATAAACGCATAAATCTATAAATCTATAACAAATCTTATTTAAAGATTGCCTGAGCTGTTTGTGAGGACGATTTTGTGCACCTACCCAAAATCTGGGAATCTTCTTTTGGTTTTTCCAGCTGCATCGTTAGACTCGTCTGAAAGACATAACACGTTTGTATGAGAGACTCAGAATACAGAGAAACAAATCATGGCGATGTGAACATAGACCGATTAGCATTTTGTGCAATTATGTTTCTTAGAGAAACTCTTTAGAGCAAATTCACTTAAATGGATGCTTTTCATTAAATAAACACCTGACTATTTAGGAAAATAAAGAGTTAAACAGTTGAGCTTTGCTATTTATAAATCCATTCAGCTGATCTTCGGGTAAAACTGAAGCACTTTTAGCTTAGCTTAGCATAGACCACTGAATCAGATTAGACCATTAACATCTCCCTCAAAAATGTAAAAACTTGTTTAGATAATTATCCTATTTAAAGCTTGATCCTTTTTTACGTGTACTAACACTGACGGAAACTAAAAAAGTTATTTTCTAGGCTAATAGGGTCTATAGTCTCATTCTGGTGTAATATTCAAGCAATTGTGCTGGCGTACCACGGCTGCAGCAGGGCAGGCGCAATGATATTCAATGATATCCAAACAGTCAAAAAGAGTGGTGTTACAGATTAGCATATGGATGTGAATGCATTCACTGAGAGTCAAGGTGATTCCAAGTAACCGGGTGAGCTGGTGTTATTAGTTTCGGCAGTTGTTATCTGGGAATAACATACCTTGGAATGTTGTAACTGATCAGAATCAAGTATTCCAGAGTGTAACAAGGCTTGTAGGGCGTTATTCTGTGAGAACAACCGGCTAGATGTACATTACTTATTGCACTCTGGACTACTTGATTCTTATTGGTCAGTCACAACATTCCAAGGTATGTTATTCCCAAACAACAACTGCCGAAACTAATAACACCGGCCCATCCGGGTACTTGGAATCATCTTGAATGTTAGGGAATACATTCATATCCATATGCTTATCTGTAACGCCTGTATAGTTAGGCTATAATAATGGCTAAATGCAGTCAACACTAACCTATGCATTATTCAGTCACAAGATGGCGCCAAACAGTCAAAAACAGTGACGTTACACATTAGCATATGGATGTGAACGTATTAACAGACAGTCAAGATTATTTCAAGTACCCGGATGAGCTGGTGTTAGTTTCAGCAGTTGTTATCTGGGAATAACATACATTAGAATGCTGTGACTGATCAGAATCAAGTACTCCAGAGTGTAATAAGTAAGGTATAATGTACATCTAGCCGGCTGTTCTCACAGAATAAAGCCTTACAAGTTTATTAGCAGCAGTTTTATAACACTAAATTGCTTTATTCTATGAAAATAACTGGCTGGATGTACGTTATCAAGATTATTACATGACTACCTGCCACAAAACTAAACAATTAGACACAAAACATTGATCCAAGCAGTAACATTTTAATATTCCTTGCATTAAACAAAGCTGACAGAAATATGAATGGCTTAATGCAGCCAACACTAACCTATGCATTATTCAGTCACAAGATGGCACCAAACAGTCAAAAACAGTGACGTTACAGATTAGCATATGGATGTGAACGTGTTAACTGACAGTCAAGGTGATTCCAAGTACTCGGATGAGCCGGTGTTATTAGTTTCAGCGGTTGTTATCTGGGAATAACATACCTTAGAATGTTGTAACTAATCAGAATCAAGTACTCCAGAGTGTAATAAGTAAGGTATAATGTACATCTAGCCAGCTGTTCTCACAGAATAAAGCCCTACAAGTTTATCAGCAGCTGTAGTACAAGTCTAAAGCGCTTTATATTGCGAAAATAACTGGCTGGATGCGTTATCAAACTTATCACACGACTACTTGCCACAAAGCTAAACAAATAGACACAAAACATTGATCTGAGCTGTAATAATTTACCATAACTAAAATTAAACAAAGCTGACAGAAACATAAACGGCTAAATGCAGCCAACACTAACCTATGCATTATTCAGTCACAAGATGGCGCCAAACAGTCAAAAACAGTGATGTTACAGATTAGCATATGGATGTGAACGTATTCACTGAGAGTAAAGGTGATTCCAAGTACTCGGATGAGCCGGTGTTATTAGTTTCAGCGGTTGTTATCTGGGAATAACATACCTTAGAATGTTGTAACTGATCAGAATCAAGTACTCCAGAGTGTAAAAAGTAAGGTATAATGTACATCTAGCCGGCTGTTCTCACAGAATAAAGCCCTACAAGTTTATCAGCAGCTGTAGTACAAGTCTAAAGCGCTTTATATTGCGAAAACAACTGGCTGGATGCGTTATCAAACTTATCACACGACTACTTGCCACAAAGCTAAACAAATAGACAGAAAACATTGATCTGAGCTGTAATAATTTACCATAACATGAATTAAACAAAGCTGACAGAAACATAAACGGCTAAATGCAGCCAACACTAACCTATGCATTATTCAGTCACAAGATGGCGCCAAACAGTCAAAAACAGTGACGTTACAGATAAGCATATGGATGTGAATGTATTCCCTAACATCCAAGGTGATTCCAAGTACCCGGATGAGCCGGTGTTATTAGTTTCGGCAGTTGTTATTTGGGAATAACATACCTTGGAATGTTGTGACTGACCAATAAGAATCAAGCATTCCAGAGTGCAATAAGTAAGGTATAATGTACATCTAGCCGGTTGTTCTCACAGAATAAAGCCCTACATGTATGTTCCCCTGGGCTTTTTTTTTTTTTTTACCTTTGACCTCTTTGCCTTTCCCTTTGGACTCTCTCTTCTTTACGTTGCGTGCGAAGCTCGAGGGGGAGGAGTCTTTTGGGGGAGAGACGGCGGGGCTCTGTGGATCTCTCTGCCCTGATTGGCTGCTGCTCATGACAGATCCTTCATTCTTGGGTTGGTTTGTAGGTGAAGAAATTACCACGGGCAGGGACAAACTTTCCTGGAAGGATCTCCTGCGAAGCAGTGGAGACTCAGGACTCAATGACTCGCTCTCATCATCACCCTAAAAGACACATCCAAAGTCAATGTTAAAGTCCAAAATAATAACCGCAAGGCTTTTATAGTAATCTAGAAAGCTCTCTGTGACCTGTGGGCGTCCGCCAGGGGAGCTGAGGGTCTCCTTGAGTTTACTGCGGGACGGGGGCTGTCGTTTGGATCTCTGGGCCAGCTGGGCCCTTGCACGGTGAGCGCTGGTGTCCAAACGCTCTGTCTCGGGAACCATCCCACTCCAGTCTGCTCCTGCTGAATAATTAATATCAACTCATATCAGCAATAGAGATCCCATTTTTTCAATTGCTCTATAATTCCCTTCACTTTACAGTGGAGTATAGGCCGAATGTTAGATGCTCAGTTTTGCACAAGTAGGTCTGGTTTAATTGAGGATTGCTTCACCAAATGATATGAGAACTCTAGGTGAATCACTTAAAGGCTGATTTATACTTCTGCGTCAAACACCGGTGTATGCTACGATGCTGACGCATAGCCCTTCACCGTGGCTGTCGCCGTCACTGACGTGCACCTCTCAAAAAATGTAACTACACGTCGCAACGACGAGTAGCGTAAGCTCTGTGATTGGTCGGCTTGGTAGCGCTGATAAGTCTGGGCGGGACCGAGAGCCGCGCGAATGGCGTGAGCGATTGTTTACAAGTGTGGAGTCCCGTGAAGGAGCTCCGGATGGAAAGTTTTGTTTAGTGTTTACCTCATAGTTAAAGTTGTTGCACGTCCGCCGGTTCCTGCCTCAAAATGAGCGAGTTTGAGCCACTTGTACATCCCGGAAGTGTTCAGGAAAAGCAAAACAGCAGCGAAGAAACTCGACACAGAGGAACATTTACACCTCACTGCCAACTAGCGTTTCGGAAGTGTTAATGCAGACCGACAGAGACAGCGCGCAGAAGTATAAATGCACAGCCACGCGCGTTGCCTGCGCTGTGGGTTACGCCGGTCACCTGACGCACAAGTATAAATCAGGCTTAAGGCTCTAAGTGCATAGTCTAAAATGCATGGTGTAGGTCAGTGTTTCCCAACCCTGTTCCTAAAGGCACACCAACAGTACACATTGTTAACCTCTCCCTAATCAAACACGCCTGAATCAACTCATCAGAACATAAGAAGAGGCTCCAAAGCCTGAAGTTAATGGGTCAGATAAGAGAGACATCCCAAATATTACTGCTGGTGTGCCTCCAGGAACAGGGTTGGGAAACCCTGGTGTAGGTGCACTTATGATGTGTCCAAATCCATGCTATTTTAAGGACAGGAAAAATAGTATGAGTATGCAGCGCATGTTCTTAAACAGTTGTCATTATCTTAATGAGTTTATTTTGGGCATAATGTGCATTAAGTCAATCAGAGTCTCGTTTCCTATTCTCTTCAAGAGGGATCTGGGCATTCTCTATTTACATGGCAGAGTTTGTAAGAGGAACAAATGAACACTTCAGTAGCGAAGAAATGGATCTGCTTCTGCATGAGGTTAAAGCAAGCAGGGCATCTATAGAATGGGTCGGATTCACCGAAGCCCCCTGAGGTGAAGAAGGTGTGGAAGGATGTAGCAGTTTTTGTATTTATTTAGACAATTATAATAGTTTAATTTTACATTCTGTTTTATTTTCTTTTTTAACGATAGTTGTGAACGATGCAGTGGCGCAGTAGGTAGTGCTGTCGGCTCACAGCAAGAAGGTCGCCGGTTCAATCCTCGGCTCAGTTGGCGTTTCTGTGTGGAGTTTGCATGTTCTCCCTGTGTTCGCGTGGGTTTCCTCGGGTTTCCAGTCCAAAGACATGCGGTACAGGTGAATTGGGTTGGCTAAATTGTCCGTAGTGTACGAGTATGTGTGTGAATGTGTATGTGTATGTTTCCCAGAGATGGGTTGCGGCTGGAAGGGCATAAACGGACTAAGCCGACAGGACAATGAATGAATGAATGAACGAACGATAGATGTGAGCTGCTGCGCATCCCTGTGTGTGTAATAAGCAGCATGTACATGCGGACGCGCATATCACTGATGTTCTCTTTAAATAACAAAACAAAAACAAACAAAAAACTACGCTATTAACTTTTGACCAGCTTTTAGATGGTCGATTGCAATTTCAGTCGCCTCAAAAAAACAAAATGCACAACAGTGTGCCTGAACCCATGTGCGCAAAAATGGGTGCAAAAGCAAATGCTCTGATGCACTGGGCAGAAACTAGCAAAAATATAACACTTTTGGCACAGATGAAAAAATTGGGGGAGGTGCAAATAGTGACAAACTTTGCTGTGATGGTGAATTTTTTATGAACAGCCAAAAAATCCTATACAAATAATCATGTGCTTTGTATCTTGTCTGTAGGATTATTATAGTAAACTAACAATATAACAATAATGGAAAAGTACTATATAAATATAATATGTAACAAACTAAAACTAAAGCTCAATTAAAAATAAATTTAAATTGTATAGTCATTTAAATAAAAACTAATTAAAATGACATAATACACATTTACATTGCCAAAATTAATTAAAAAGGCATTAAAAATCAGCTTTACAGTAACTCACCCAGCAGAAGTGAATCTGCAGACTTGCTGCCCGACAATGAAGACTCATTATGACCACGGCCAGATTCGAGTTTCGCCAGCTATTCAGAGAAATGGAGAGACGGGTATCAGAAAACATGGATGCTTTATGTGCGAGTGATTTTGTCTGTATGATGTGAGTTCTCACCCTTCGCTGCAGATCCTCGATCTGACTCTTATATGCGCTCTCTCTTTCATCCAGAGACCTCTTTAACTCCTCCTCCCTCTGCTCAAACTCCGCCTCTCTACAGGACACAAACACGTCCAGCCAATCAGAAAAGTTGTACTAATCATTACATTTATAAATTACAAGCTAAAATACTATGTACAGGTGATGCGGCGGCGCAGTAGGTAGTGCTCTCGCCTCACAGCAAGAAGGTCGCTGGTTTGAGCCTCAGCTGGATCAGTTGGCATTTCTATGTGGAGTTTGCATGTTCTACCTGCGTTCGCGTGGGTTTCCTCCGGATGCTCCCGTTTTCCCCACAGTCCAAAGACATGCAGTACAGGTGAATTGGGTAGGCTAAATTGTCCGTAGTGTATAAGTGTGAGGCAGCAAAGAATGTCACTATAAATTAAAACTACTTTATTATTTTATGCAACACTCTTACATTTAAAAGGGATACATAAGGGTGATCATACGCAAAAAGACCCCATAAGGTTAGATGTTTTCTTTCCCTTATTTATTTATTTATTTGTTTGTTTGGTTGGCGCATGTACTCATGTGCGATCAAACCCGCCTCTCCTTTGACTCCACCCTGAAGGCCCAGCTGGCCCTCTTTGGCCCAAGGTATTCGGCGGGCCGAAAAAGGCCGGCAGCTGGCCCCATGAAAGCCCCGATTTGGCCTAATTAGGCCCCGGAAGTGACAGTGGAAATGCGACTGGCCTTGGCTCACCCTGGCTCGCTCGCTTTAAGGCTGATTTATACTTCTGCGTCAAACGCCGGCGTATGCTACGGCGCTGACGCATAGCCCTTCGCCGTCACTGACGTGCACCTCTCAAAAAATGTAACTACATGTCGCAACGACGCGTAGCGCAAGCTCTGTGATTGGTCGGCTTGGTAGCGCTGACGAGTCTGGGCGGGACCGAGAGCCGCGTGAATGATGCGAGCCCAATGGAGCGATTGTTTACAAGTGTGGAGTCCCGTGAAGGAGCTCCGGATGGAAAGTTTTGTTTAGTGTTTACCTCATAGTTAAAGGTGCTGCACGTCCGCCGGTTCCTGCCTCAAAATGAGCAAGTTTGAGCCACTTGTACATCCCGGAAGTGTTCAGGAAAAGCAAAACAGCAGAGAAGAAACTCGACACAGAGGAACATTTACACCTCACTGCCAACTAGCGTTTCGGAAGTGTTAATGCAGACCAACAGAGACAGCGTGCAGAAGTATAAATGCACAGCTACGGGCGTTGCATGCGCCGTGGGTAACGCCGGTCACTTGACGCAGAAGTATAAACCAGGCTTTAGGCCCGATAGTGGAAACGCAGCTATTGAGTGTGAATGAGTGTGTGTGGATGTTTCCCAGAGATGGGTTGTGGCTGTAAGGGCATCAGCTGCGTAAAAAAACGTGCTGGATAAGTCGGCGGTTCATTCCGCTGTGGCGACCCTAGATTGATAAAGGGACTAAGCCAAAAAGAAAATGAATGAATAAATGAATACTATGTACAGTCTGAAGGACTTGAAGCTAGTTTCCTGTTTGTCCACAAGAAAATGGAGTATTTTCGGAAACCGAAATTTTCCTAAAAATCTAGCCAGGGTGAGGATTTTCTGAAACTCCAGGTACAGTGTTGTGTGGGCACTACAGCTGGTGTTTGTCTCATGACATCAGTGTGCATGCTGTTTTTTCCTTTCTGATTAGCCAACACGGCTGGGTTCACACCAAACGCGGTAGATGTGAATTTTGCACATTTTCGACAAACGCTTTGTGCATTCCACGTCGTTTGTATTGACTTGTATAAAAAAATGAATATTGTGTCTGACTCCATCATGAGCTTGGAGGACTGCATCCATACATCTCTGACATGACACAAATCACTGATTAATAAAGTCATCTGGAATGGCAAAGAAAGTGTTCCTGCAGGACTCCCAGAGTTCATCAAGATCATTTGAATTCATCTTCAGCGCCTCCTCCATCTCACCCCAGACATGCTCAATAATGTTCATGTCTGGTGACTGGGCTGGCCAATCCTGGAGCACCTTGAGCTTTTCTGCTTTCAGGAGCTTTGATGTGAAGGCTGAAGTATGAGAAGGAGCGCTATCCTGCTGGAGAATTTGCCCTCCATTGTGGTTTGCAACGTAATGGGCAGCACAAATGTCTTGATTCCTCAGGCTGTTGATGTTGCAGATCTCTCGCGCGCCCCCATACTAAAATGTAACCCCTAAACTATGATTTTTCCTTCACCAAACTTGACTGATTTCTATGAGAAACATGGGTTTTTTGCGAGTTCCAGTAGGTCCTCTGCAGTATATGTGATGATTGAGATGCAGATCAACAGATGATTTATCAGAAAAATCGACCTTCTGCCACTTGATCCCAAATGATCAACTATTGGTCAAGCTTAATATAATTTGTTACTCTTAAAACTGGGATCAATACAAGGCTTTTGTCAGGTAGTGCATTATAACATGTAAAAGAGAAACATTCAAAAACAACATGTAAACACCGTAATCATATCATTGTCTTATTCAGATTAAGGCAAATCATTTGATTTACTGATCGAGTGCTGACGTCATGACTCACTTCTGCTGATAGTCCTTGAGCAGTTTCTTGGCTTTGCTGTATTTTTTGTCCAGCGCTTCATACTGGCTCTGCGTGTCATTGAGCTGTTCGTTGATGCTTTTGCAAAGCGCCTGAGCTTCCAGCCAGTTCTTCTCCATCTGAGCGATTCTCTCCGAGTTCTCCTGAACGCTCCTCTCTAACTGAGCTTCTCTGGCCTCCCACGCCGCACGCTCCTCTGAGGACTCCCGCAACTGCGACAGCAAACACACTTCATCCATTACAACACACTGGAGACTGCCGTATGATTGATATAGCAGGATGATATACAGCTGAAGTCAAAATGATTCGCCCTCCTGTGAATTTTTAGTTTCTTTAGTTTCGAATGTTTCCCAAATGATGTTTAACAGAGCAAGGAAATGTTCACAGTATTTCCTAGGATATTTATTTCTTCTGGAGAAAGTCTGATTTGTTTTATTTTTGGCTAGAATTGAAGCAGTTTTTAACTTTTTAAAGCCATTTTAAGGTCAATATTATTAGCCCCCTTAAGCCGGTGGTTCCCAAAGTGGGGGTCGGGACCCCCCAGGGGACTGCGGGACAATGAGAAGGGGTCGCTTTGTGATTTCCAAAAATCTAATTCATTTTATTAAACCAGGGGTGTCAAACTCATTTTAGGTCAGGGGCCGGATGGTATAAAATCTGTTCTCAAGTGGGCCGGATCCTGAGGGGTTGGGAGGGTGAGGGGGGTGGTACCACGCCTCCTTTTTTAAAACGGTACATTTTCATATGACTGAACAAAATAGCCACTAAACTGACAAAACGTAAAGTAGTTACATTTCCTATTGAGGTCATCTCAGTGTGCAGAGCTTCCCACAGGTTCGAAATATACTTGCAGTGGTTGCCTGATTGTCCCACGGCACATAAATGGTCAACTACATGCAACAAACAAAAAAAAGTGTGAATTTTAACTTGATTTTTATTCATTATGACGCTGTTATACACATTTTCTTTTCAATGACTGAAAGTTATTTTAAAAAGACTGTTGAAATAATAGAAATCCACTATTTCTCTTATTTTTATGCTATTTAGGAGACATGTGCACCCACTCACAGGTAAAGGCTGCTCTGCTCTCTCTCTCTCTCTCTCTCTAAAGTTGCCATATTAGAATGACATTTACAGTATTGTCAAAACATTTTAGAAATGTATAAGTATGTAATACATTAGCATGATTACATTTTTAAAATATGCAGCAAATGAGAAATAATATCAGGAAAATTTTTTATCAAATTAGACATTATTGCAAAAAACTATAATAATTACTAAAAAGTGTACATTATTTAAATAAGGCAAATTAGTTGATTAACCTTTTCTGATGGTGCATAAATATTTTGCAGCCATTCAAGATGTTATTTTGTTCTTTCCGGTTATAAAGTTTATCTGAGTCGTTTATTAAATGATTAATCATTTAATGTTTCTCTCGCGGCTGTGCCCACCTGACTGTGAAATGGTAATGCAAAAATGCATAAAAATGACGCCAACTTTAGAATGGCAAAGTAAAACCTGAATTCTGGACATTTTAGGAGATTCAGAAACTACGGTCGGAAAAGGCGGAAAAGGCGCGTCTCAATGGGTCTGCAGAGCATGTGAGAATTTCTGAATGAGTGACAGATCGCAGGAGTAGGAAACGTGCAGAGCGAGGGAAGATTTTCCACTGGTTAATCGATCGCGAATGTTTCGTTTTCTTGGACGGATTCAATATAAGGGATGAGGTCTTTCTCTCTGAGATGGCTGTCAAATTGACGCTGATTCAGGCTTCTGGATGGGATGGAATTAAATTTGCTATTGCGCTCTCCAGTGGACACAATCAGAACAGCAGTGTATTTTATTGAAATCATTTCAGCTCACATAATCATCTCGCGGGCCGCATTAAATTAGTTTACGGGCCTGATCCGGCCCGAGGGCCGTACGTTTGACACCCCTGTATTAAACTATTAAAATGACCATATTTTATCCATTGTTTCCCAGAGATGGGTTGCACCTGGAAGGGCATCCGCTGCGTAAAATGCTGGATAAGTTGGCGGTTCATTCTGCTGTGGCGACCCCAGATTAATGAAGGGACTACGCCGAAAAGAAAATGGATGAATGAATATTTTATCCATAATCTACAGAAGATAAAAATAGTAGTTAATAGTTACTTTAAAAACAACAACATGCAAATAAAAAGCCGTCAGCCTTTCAGTTTTTTTTTTGCAAGCCCTGGGGTGATTATGTTATATTAAAGCCGAAGCACATTGATTTCATGGCACCAAATTAAACTTTCTGACACCTTTACAGCACTCACGCACTAAAAAATAAACACAGGTCATGACTGAACATGGAGGATGGTCTTAAAGTGGCTAAATTAAATTCAAGATTAAACGATGAAAAGACTTGGGCCTATTTGTATTTATGAGCTGCTGTGTAAAGGTCATATATTTACCACCTCAGAGGATATTGGAGGTCAAGAGTCACTGGCATTGCAATTTTGAGGGTCAAGGGCTGAAAAGTTTGAGAACCCCTGCCTTAGGCAATATTTTTTTTCAGATTGTCTACCAGAGTTGAAGACATTTTCAAGACCGTCGAGAATAAAATTTCAGACTTATATAGGACTAAATGCTCAGGATTGTTTTTAATAACCGATCAGAAAAAAACTACCCTATTAAAAGACTGATTATAATTAGTTATTCCTTAGCCACATATTTTAAATGACGTATCAAAATAAGCAGACCCTAGTTTTATACATACTATATTTTCAACATAACTTTAAAAACACAACAGATATGTTCAAACATTAGTTATATATGAAGTTTTTCTAAAAGTTTTAGCGAAATGTATTGGTGATTGGATGTGTGTTGGATCGATTGGGAAGCTTTACATAAACAAAGGAAAAATTAAGAGGCATTTAAAATTATTTAAGATCTACAAGACAATATTTAACTTTAACCTAATTTAACCTAGTTAAGCCTTTAAATGTCACTTTAATCTGTATAGAAGTGTCTTGAAATATCTAGTAAAATATTATTTGCTGTCATCATGGCAAGGATAAAATAAATCAGTTATTAGAAAGGAATTTTTAAAACTATTATGATTAGAAATGTGGTAAAAAATCTTCTTTCTGTTAAACAGAAATTAGGGGAAATATAGGGTCCTTCAAATTCAGGAGGGCTAATGATTCTGATTTCAAATGTAAATGGTTTACAGGTTCATACTCTCTCTTTCAGCTCATCCACTTCAGCTTCTGCGATGGTGTGCTTTATCTGGAGCTGAAATTAAAGCACAATATAGACAGAGTTACAAAACTAATAGAAATATGTTAACAGACAGTGAAATGTAGCTAAAATTAAAGCACAATATGCACAGAATTACAAAAATATATGGAAATATGTTTAAATTAAGTACAAAGTAGCTGAAATTAAAGCACAATATAGACCATATTTTATTGTAAATATACACACATACAAAAAACAAAAACAAAACGGAAAAAAAGGTTGTGTGTGATAACAGTGGAATGACACAAGGAGAAAGTCCTGAACTACTGAAATGTGTTTAATACTTTATATAAGAGGCTTTTTTTGGTGCTGCAGCTTAAAGACGCCTCTCATATGGGGAATGAAGTCACATGCATTGCTCAGGTGTGAGTTGTACACAGACTCCAACAGAGTGTCAAACTCTTGATGCTTCTGCTGGTCTCGTCTATCAAATCTGAGCTTTATTTAGTATTCTCTATTGGATTCGGATCAAGTGATTGGCTGAGCCATTCTACGGCTTGATTTTCTTTCTCTGAAAGCATCTGAGAGTCTCCTTGGCTGTGTTTTGGATCATTGTCTTGCTGAAATGTCCACCCTGGTTTCATCTTCATCCTCCTGCTAATGTAGATGTTGGACAGAAGCAGCTGATACACCGAGGAAGGGCTGAGGAATACTGAAGAACTACTGAGAGATTTCAGCTGCTGTCTGGACTTTCCATGACTTCCCTTTCTTCATGTGTACTTTTCCCTTCATCATTTCATTTTATTATGAATAACTTAATTTGTAAACTAATTAGATTTGTTTTCCTTGCATATGTGGATTTCTTTGGTTGTCATCAACATCTGATGAAAACTTCAAGTCAGCAGCACCTTTGGAAAGATGTTTTCTGACAGAAATAGTGACGTGTTCAACACTTATGTCCCCCACTGTATATAATAACGATATATTAGCCCTAATCGTTATTGAACTGAAAAAACCCAGATGATCTGTTACCTCTTTAAACCTGAACGTTAGCTGCGTGGTGTCCATGTTGGAGGGCAGGAACATGTCCTCACTTTCGGGCAGATCGTACACTTCCACATTCCTACCGCAGAAGCTGGAACCCAGGATGCCATCCTCGCCCCCTTCCTCCTCGTCCTCGTAGTGCTCGTCCTTTGAAGACACAATCACACAACCGAATACAATCAGTGCATAAATAGAGCAAAGTTGAGAAATAAGTTATGAATTAACATTAATAACCGAAAGCATGATTCATTTTCCTCTTGTTGTACTGGTAATACATTAACCATTCAGTATTCAGGAGCGTACCTGCTCAGCAAGGTAGCACAAACGTAGTGTTCCGAGCGCAGCTCTAGACAAGCCTATTTGTGTTCTGAATAGACTCACAAATCTGTTTCCTCATACAACATGGTGGACTTTTGCATAGTTTTGCATACATGTGAACACTGAACACAAAGCAGCTCTGGGGAAATTAATGTATGGTTGAAAATGTCTGAAGATGCTTCTGCAACTGTAGTATTTCCCAAGTTATGTGTAACAGAGCAAAAAAATTTTCACAGTAGTTCCAATAATATTTTGTGTTCTTGAGAAAGTCTTATTTGTTTTATTTCGGCTATAATAAAGGCAGTTTACATTTTTTTAAATGCCATTTTAAGGTAAAAAATATTAGCCGCTTTAAGCTATTTTTTTTTTAGATAGTCTACAGAACAAACAATCGATATACAATAACTTACCTAATTACCCTAACCTGTCTAATTAACATATTTACTCTAGTTAAGTCTTTAAATTGCCCTTTAAGCTGTATAGAAAAATATCTAGTCAAATATTGTTTACTGTCATCATGGCAAAGATAAAATAAATCAGTTATTAGAAATGAGTTATTAAAACGATTATGTTTAGAAATGTGTTGAAAAACATCTCTCCGTTAAATAAAAATTGGGGGAAAAATAAAAAAGGGTGCTAATAATTCAGGGGGGCTTATAATTCTGACTTCAACTTCAATTCTGACTTCAACTGTTCTAACAAAAGTGAACCGTTAAAGAGAAAATAATTGCAAAAAAAAGGTGTTATATTCGTAAAGTAATGAAAATTGCCTCAGAGCGCTGACACAACATGTCTCTCTACTACATGACGAAACCGGAAGCCGCCATTCTACAGTTAACCAGTTTTTTTAGTCCTGTTTGGTTACTTAAATACTTTAGTCTGACAGAATTACATGACAAACATAATCTAGTAGATTATTACTTGTATTTAGTACTGCATATGGACTACTTTTGGATTACTTGTAGATTACTTTTGACGCAACTCATTTATGTGTACCACACTGATATCCAAAAATAAGAAAAAAGGAAATATAGTCAATTTGTTATCACTATTATAAACTGTATTAAATCCTAACTATGGCTCGATTTCCAAAACTACTGTTAATGATGTAAAAATCAAATACTTAATTCAATCTTAACGTGTAAAATGCACAAATTCACAGAAATGTATTTGCACATGGCCAATTTATAGATTGAATATAGCCAAAGTGTAATTGAAAGAGAAACAGTACCAGTTTTAAGCATTATAAAAATGTAAAAATTAGAAATAATCAACAAATTATGTCTCCATTTTGGGAATAATATTTAATCATGTAAATTATCCAAAAACAACTGCAATCATCACCTTTTTATATTACAAAATAACTACAATATTTTATTGTTGAACTATGATAATGCCCTCAAATCACATTTAATCAATTACCACACAGCATTAGATACCATATCAACATCTAATAACCATAACTATTTATGATATCAGAAATAATATGACTTAAAGTAAGCTAATTAAGTGCACATTCTTAATTAAGTCTTCAATCCTTAATTAATAATGCACATGAACATACAAAAGTGAGCTTATATTAACCTACAATCTAGCTCTAAATGCTTCACAAGTTTAAAAAAGAGTGCTTACACGATATACAAAGTTTGCAGTGATATTGACAGGACTACAGACAGTAAGGTGTATGATGTGTGTGTGTGTGTGTGGGTGTGTCTGACCTCTTCAGTGGACTGCTCATACGTGTCGTCTCCTTGTTGCTGCTGTCGCTCCTGCTCGAGGGTCTCGCTTATCAGCCGAGCCACTTCACTCTGAGTCCCCGGCTTCTCTCGGCCAATCAGAAACCTGCACACGGTTGATTGACAGGTGGATGATGACACGCATAACTTATACTGATCAGGTGGAGAGGAAACAACGGAGCCTGTGTGTATGTGTGCGTGTGCGCATTGTTTATTTGCATGTGGTGAACTCAACGCCTTCGGTCCACAGCCTACAGCAAAGTATGAGTACTAAATATGTAGCGTGAATTAAAACTAAATTATATTATGCTTTAATTTTTTATATATATATATATATACACACATACATACATACTTACACATATATATATATATATATATATATATATATATATATATATATATATATATATATATATATATATATATATATATATTAATAAACATAATCATAAATATGAAATATGAACAACACAGGATGAAAGAGCTTTTTTAACATATACATACTAGCTACTAACTACACATCTGTATGTATATGCATGTGTATAAATATATGTACTATATATAAATATACATACATATATATATACATACATACACATATACATATACATTATATATATATATATATATATATATATATATATACATATATATAAATATACATACACACACACACACACTTATATATATAGTATGTATATAGTATTGTATACTAGTATTGTATACTAGTATGTATATGTTAAAAATAGCTCTTGCATCCTGTGTTGTTCATATTTATGATTATGTTTATTAATGTTGCACCGTGGTCATGCAAGACATGAAATTTCGTTCCAATGACAATAAAGCTCAACTGCACTTGAGTTGACCAACCTGACAGATCCCTTGGTGTTCTTGAGGACGGTCGCAGCAAAGAGTTGCGTCACACCAACCAGACTGATGCCGTCCACCTCCACAATCTGATCATTCACCTGGATCCTGCAGCACAACACAGAGATGAAAAAAATATTTCATATATAGCCACCATTGGAGTATATTTACAGACAAAATACCTATGTAATATCTTATAGAATAATTTAGATTCGAAACAAACCAAGTCAGTCTATTCTCACAGTTTAACATCTTGTGAGGGAAACACAGTTGTGTGATCAGTAGTAAATCTCATCCATAAGGAAATGTTTCGAACACTTGGCTGAAGTTACGAAAACTAAACATGTTATTAAAAGGACCAGAGTTGGACTAACCAGAAGAGCACAGAGGCAGGGCAAGCATTGCAAGCTTCTGTTTACAGTAGCATGCTGGCATGACATTGGTTTTATTAATCATTGCTTAAAACACGATTAAAAACTGCACAAATCAAATATGTAAATTCAAAACACTATTTAAAAATACACAAATTCAATTCGTAAACACAAAACACTATTCCTAAATACACACGTCCAATTGGTAAACACAATACACGTTTCGTAAATATACAAGTCCAATTGGTAAACACAATACACGTTTCGTAAATACACAAGTCCAATTCGTAAACTCAAAACACAATTCAAAAATACACAAATCCAATTTGTAAACACAGAACACTATTCGTAAATACACAAATCATATTCGTAAACTCGAAACACGATTCATAAATACACAAATCCAATTCGTAAACTCGAAACACGATTCATAAATACACAATGTCAATTCGTAAACTCGAAACACGATTCATAAATACCTAATTTCAATTCGTAAACTCGAAACACGATTCATAAATACACAAATCCAATTCGTAAACTCGAAACACAATTCATAAATACACAATTTCAATTCGTAAACTCGAAACACGATTCATAAATACACAAATTCAATTAGTAAACTCGAAACACGATTCATAAATACACAATTTCAATTCGTAAACTCGAAACACGATTCATAAATACACAAATCCAATTCGTAAACTCGAAACACGATTCATAAATACACAAATCCAATTCGTAAACTCGAAACACGATTCATAAATGCACAAATCCAATTCATAAACTCAAAACACGATTCATAAATACACAAATCCAATTCGTAAACTCGAAACATGATTCATAAATACACAAATCCAATTCTTAAACTCGAAACATGATTCATAAATACACAAATTCAATTCGTAAACTCGAAAAACGATTCATAAATACACAATTTCAATTCGTAAACTCGAAACACGATTCATAAATACACAATTTCAATTCGTAAACTCGAAACACGATTCATAAATACACAAATCCAATTCGTAAACTCGAAACACGATTCATAAATACACAAATCCAATTCGTAAACTCGAAACACGATTCATAAATGCACAAATCCAATTCATAAACTCAAAACACGATTCATAAATACACAAATCCAATTCGTAAACTCGAAACACGATACATAAATACACAAATCCAATTCTTAAACTCAAAACACGATTCATAAATACACAAATCCAATTCGTGTAAACTCGAAACACGATTCATAAATACACAAATCCAATTCGTAAACTCTAAACACGATTCATAAATACAAAAATCCAATTCGTAAACTCGAAACACGATTCATAAATACACAATTTCAATTCATAAACTCGAAACACGATTCATAAATACACAAACACCAATTCATAAACTCAAAACACGATTCATAAATACACAAATCCAACTTGTAAACACAAATCACAATTCAAAAATACACAAATCCAATTCGCAAACTCTAAACACGATTACACAAATTTAATTCATTTGTGAATTCACAAATTGTGTTTTGTATTTCTGAATCGTGTTTTGAATAAAAAAAATGGATTTTGTAAATGTGAATTGTGGTGTTGCATGTATGAATTTCATTTTTTAGTGTATTATTTTTGAGACTGATCTAACTCCATATCTTCATGTCCCTCACACTGTTGTAAATGGGCAGCTAAACGTGGCCTGTGATATGTGTATTACATGCTAAACACATGTCCATGACACTGTGAATAAGTAATCACACACAGACTTCCAGCACTTCTCACACCTAATCTGAACCCACCACCCAAAACTACATCATAACCTGTTTATGACTGACACCTCGGAGGCCTGAACCCCAGCTGGGTTGCTTTTCCAAACAGCAGAGAGTATTTCAAACAGATTCGGCTTCGGAAAAAGGAAAGCAAGGCCTTCAGCAGCTGGCAGAGAGTGCTGAGATTCACAGGGCAGAGGAAGTGGGTGTTGTCCGTTGTGCGACACTGAAATGCAGTGTGTTTGGACAGGCGATGTTCAACAGCACATTAGAGAGATCAAACATTTGGCCCTCAGGAAGAAGACATGAAAACATGTCCCCCTACACTGCAGCTGCTGCATGACCCCAAACACTAACCAGCAGATAGATATAAAAATATATCTATATATATCTATCTATATGTATGTATATATGTATGTATGTATATATATACACACACACACATACATACATACATGCATACATATATATATATATATATATATATATATATATATATATATGTATATATTTGCATGTATGTATGTATGTTTGTGTGTGTGTACATATATATACATATATGTGTGTGTATATATATATATTTATATATATATATATATATATATATATATATATATATATATATATATATATATATATATATATATATATATATATGTATATATATATTAGGGATGTAACGGTATTGTAAATACCGTCATACCGCAATATTAATTTTTTTCGATATTACCGAAGTCGCATGACTCGGTAAAACTATAGGTCTTCTGAGAAAATTTGCTTAGGCGAATGAAGCGAACGGGAGGTAGCGAAAACTACAATACCCATCAGCCCATGCTTGACCATCATCCCTTGCGGTCTGTTGTCGCTACAGATCCAGTAATGCGGAAATGGAGTGTGCTGCTAGAAGCGGGGATGAAAAGAGCTCTCGAGCGCCGAAAACGGAGCGTTTCGAAATGTGTGGATAATGTCTCAGTGTGGATAATGGAAAACGGAGACATCTGAAAACGGAGGCGGGGCTGCAGACGTTCGCCTCTCTGATTGGGGCTTTTCCTGAATATTAAGTAGCCCACACACAGTTCAGTCCTGCATCCTCTCCTTGTAAGTTCAGACTTCGCAAGTTTGATCAAGGCTGCAGTCTCTTCTTCTCAGTTTGATATGGAAAAGCAGACTATACCGAGGACACGGGTAAATCTTCAAAGGGAACAGTGTACTTTATAACTTCATTCACATCACCCTGGCTACGTTGTTTCACTTTATCAACAATAAAATGTAAACATGATTTAAGGAACTGCCTATTTTCATTTTAATATTAGCAACTTAGACAGCAGACATGTTGAGGCGTCGTGCTGCATATATGAGCGTCATCTTCACTGTGTGGATATTTATAACAAAACGGAGCCGATAACAACTGTCTCCTTTCAATTTCAGTGAAAATACGAAACACAGCCTCTCTTTTGCTGAGTATTAGTTTTAATAATCGATAATGGCCATTTTAAAAGTATAACATACAATAAGTTTATACATTATAGGAAATAAAGGCAAGCGATCAGTCAATTTACAGAATGTACGTGGTTACATTAATCATTAACTAATCTTTGCGCTCACGTTACCAGAGAACAAGTAATAGATTCCAATGACCAAAGTCAGGGAATATGTCGTTAGATAAAGACAACAAGATAAATGAAATATCCCGTTTAATAAATATAGTGAGATTAGATCCAGCGGGAGATGCTTGATGAGAAGTCCGACTAGCAGAGCTCTCATCTGTGTAGATGGGCTGAGTGTGATTAAATGTTGAATGTGATGAGTTTTCAACAATACTAAATTGAAACTTTATTGTTTTTACATGGTTTAATAATTTTTTGTTATTAAAATTGAAGTTCCTGTTTCAAAGCTTACAGATAGATGGCTAATTTGTATGTCATTGACACTTTTGGCACTTTTCTGGAGTATTTTCATAAGTTTTGTTTTTTCTTGTAAATGATTCAATAAATACCGTACCGTGACATTCATACCGAGGTATTACCGTACCGTGAAATTCTGATACCGTTACATCCCTAATATATATATATATATATATATATATATATATATATATATATATATATACATACATATACATACATACATATATATACATATACATACATACATACATAAATACATACATTCATACATACATACATATATATATATATATATATATATATATATACACACACACACATATATATATACATATATATACATATATATATATATATATATATATATACATATATATATATATATATATACATATATATATATATATATATATATATATATATATATATATATATATATATATATATATATATATATATATGTTCTTGAATCTGATTGGCTGATAGCAGTGTGATATTATACCAGTAACAGGACTCGACCAGCCTCTTCACCTTTAACCCTTGTGGATTACTCTGCCGACATACAGCAACAAGCAGAGGACACACTATAGTGTCCATCACACAGCCAAAGTCCCAGTTCGTGCAGGTCCAATGTGCGGAGTGGAGTGCCGATCGTGGGTAGGTGAAGAGGGGAACACTGCAAGCCCAATTCCAAGTCATGCTCTCCTTTCTGGGATCATGGCTTATTTTCCCCTCTCCTGATGAGCTTGATCGACGTGCTGATTGAGGTGAGGGAATTGTTTCGATGGCAATGCTATAAGGCAGATCTGCCACGATATATAATATGCACTCTGCAAGTCTGTGTACTTCATTTTACAAAAAAAAAAAAGATGGGGAAACCCCAGGTGTGTCCATCATAGGCAATCCCAAGAGGGTCCCATGTGGGCAACCGCAGATCTGTCCCACATAGTCAAGTGAAAATAAAATAAAACAACAAAACTTTTTGGAATGAAAAATAAATTTGCTAGTAGCAGCTCAATCACAGAGTTCTTTTGTCAAGTATACAAGGAAGTGTTTCTCAACCATGTCCCTCTAGCACCACCAACACTGCATGTTTTGGATGTCTCCTTAGTCTGAAACATTAATGAATCATTACAGGTGTTTGGTCAATGGTCAAACATATTCCTGGAGCGCCACCAACACTGGGCAATACCACATGGGTCCCACAAGGAAAAGCACAGGTGGGCCTCACTTAGGCCAGCCCAGGTAGGCCTCACATGGGACAGCCATCTTAACAATTCATATTACTAAAAAAACTTGATGATCTTTACTTTTAATATAATGTTTTTTGTAATAAAAGAAAAAAATTATAATTTTAATTCAATAATTCCCACCCCACCAAAAAATGTTTACCTGTGCACTTTAGGATTGGTTTAGTTGCGTCGGCGCAATAGCCTAGTGGTTAGCGTGCTGATAAATGGTGCAATAGCACGTCAGGGCGTCGCAAGTTCGAATCCCGGCTTGACGACATTTCCCTACCCCCTCTCCCTCTCTCTCTCTCTCTCTCTCTCTCCCACTTCGCTTCCTGTCTCAATACTGTCCTATCTAATAATAAAGGCAAAAAGGCCAAAAATAAATCTTAAAAAAAAAAAAAAAGGATTGGTTTTGTTGCAACACCAACAAAAAAAAGCACAAGCGGAGTGGAGCACATCAAGGTCAAAGTTCCAAAGAGGTCAATATTCGGCTCATTTACATGTATCCATGCACGAACCACATATGGTCATTGTAAAAGTCCACTCAAATAACACCTGAACTGGACATTTCTATGTAGTATTCATGTTCCTGCTGCTTGCAATAGGGCTACTGTGCTGTCATGGTATCGCTGGTTAATTGATGCCTCTCAACTGGTTATTGTCAACTCTGTTACTGTCAAACGTGTTAGTGTGTTTAATACCATCAGCTCTGTTATTCTGCTACTGTCGACTGCTCAACTAGCAACCAATATTTGTTGTATTGATCTCTTGTTGTGTGAAAGTCTGCTGTAATAATCCTCTTAAGATCTCACCTGCCATCTCTCTCTGCAGCTCCGTCCTCTGTGATGGTCTTGACGAAGATGCCTAGTTTCTCCAGACCCTGGTCTGCACCAACACCCATCCCAATGATGCTGATCCCCAGCCCTTTATCACCTACACACAGAGAAATAAATATATGTTACAATTACATTTCACAGTTTTGCTAAAAACTGCTTCGCTAAAGCTCAAACAATGAACTTTGGTAAGACTAACGTCCTGGGTTTGATTCCGAGGTAAAGCAAGAGTACCACTTAAAATAAATGCATACATGCATAATAAATGTACACATAAATCTTTTTTTTTTAAGTATGCATAGCTTCTTCCTAGTTCAAGCAAAACATTCACTAAAAATAAATGTTTATTAACTGTTTATAGTCGTTTATTTATTTATAAAATAACATCAACTTTACAAAAAGTCTGTGTGTGATCATTTGGGTGGTGATAAGTTCATCAACTTGTCCTTAGTTCTTTCACTTGAAAAGGTACAAGACAATCAAAACAGAGATCAATACTCTACCAATCTTCATTGTTTTCTAGGGTACAAAATCAAATTTCAGTTGAAATCTTCAAGATCTTTAAATCTGCAAGTTTTCCATCTGGGGGAAAAAGTTCCATAGGCAGATTTTGCTTGAATTCATGCTGGTCATGCCGCTGCAATTTTGCCTGACCAACAGAAAGCTGGTTTGAACTTTGTGTCTTCCAACACTGCGGTACAGATATTAGACATTATATTTATAATACATTTTTAAGTTATTACTTAATATGTTTTTTAATCAATTGATCGATCAATCAATTGATCAATCAGTCAGTCAGTCCGTCAGTCAGTCAGTCAGTCAGTCAGTCAGTCAGTCAGTTAACCAAACAATCAATCTGCCATTCAGTCAGTCAATCAGTCAACCAACCAAGCAACCAACCAATCAGTCAACCAAACACACCAACCAATTAATCAAATCAATTAACCAATTGGTCATTCAGTCAATCAATCAGTCAACCAATCAATCAATCAATCAATCAGTCAGTCAACCAATTAGTCAACCAATCAGTCAACCAACCAATTGGTCATTCACTCAGTCATTCAGTTAATCAATCAGTCAACTTACCAACCAATCAATCAATCAATCAACCAACCAATTGGTTGTTTAGTCAGTCAGTTATTCAGTCAATCAATCAACCAACCAACTAACCAACCAATCAATCAACTAATCATTCAGTCTATCAATCAGTAAACCAACCAAATAATTAATCATTTAATCAGTCATTCAGTCAATCAATCAATCAACCAACCAACCAACCAATTGGTCATTCAGTATGTCAGTCAATCATTCAATTAATCAGTAAACCTATCAACCAATCATTCAGTTAATCAATCAGTCAGTCAACCTACTAATTAGTAAATCAGTTTTGCCAATCGATCAGTCAACCAACCAGTCAATCAAATCAAATCAAATCAAATCAAATCAAATCAAATCAATCAATCCATCAATCAATCAATCAATCAATCAATCAATCAATCAATCAATCAATCAATCAATCAACCAATCAACCAACCAGTTGGTCATTGTCAGTCATTCAGTCAATCAAACAGTCAACCAACTAATCAATCAATCAATCAATCAATCAATCAATCAATCAATCAATCAATCAATCAATCAATCAATCAATCAATCAATCAATCAATCAATCATTAAGTCAATCAATCAATCAGTCAACCAACCAAATTAATCAATCAATCAATCAATCAATCAAATCAAAATCAAATCAAACAATCAGTCAATCAGGAAAAACTTTAACAACCATATTTTAATATGAAGATTTAATGCTTATGCTTGTAATGTATAATGTAATCATAGGTTGTATGCTAAATTAATCCGGACTGTTTTGACAGTGTTTTTGTTCCTTTTCTGTTCTTTGAACATCTCAGGACTGTTGCTGTCTATGGAGGATGAGGGAGCTCTCTGATTTCATCTAAAATCTGAAAGTTCTGAAGACGAGCAAAGGTTTATGGGGTTTGAGTGGACATGAGGGAGAGTAATCAATAACAGAATTTTCATTTTTGGGTAAACTAAAGCCTGGCTAAAGTAAAACCCCAGGATTTTATTTAACAGGGGTTTAAGTTGTTCAGTATGGTTCAAGACTTCACCTTTCTCGATCTCCACAGGAAACACATCCATCTTCTCCACCCGTTTCTCCAGCTCGTACTCTGCAGACGCCGCCACCGGATCCACATCGTCATTCCTGCGGTCGTAGTCTTCATTAGAGAAGGTCCTGTACACCTGAGAGACCACAAACACAACACACGACTCTGGTTAAGATCAATGACAGATAATAATAATAACTATTCATAACAAGAACTATTCATTTACTTTGACAATCTTTAAAAGTGCTCATTATGTGCTTTATTAAGATAAGATTACTGCAAAAACATGAAGAACACTCAAACCCAAACATCAAAGCTGTAATCAGTTTCTCTACAGTCCTGCCAATACAGGGCTTCCTTTCGGCAACAATAACATCACCGTGAAAGAAGCACTTGTCTAGTGGACCCAGGATGATTGAAAATACTTGCCTTGCTAAACCTGAAATACACTGCTCTGGGTTTATTTCGTTGCTTGTTTCAGATGACCACTAGAGAGTGCTGTATACATCTTTGGAAATCTGAAATACGTTACCTACGATACATTTCATTGTACATCCACTTATCGTACAGATCAGCTATAGCGAACCACTGACCTAAACTCTTCCCTGAACCCAACCAATAGTGTTTTCAAAAGCAAACGTAAGTGAAAAGAGCACTGCGATCATGTAGATTTTGCTAGGTTTTACTTTGCTTCATTTATTTTATAGGCCCCTATACACATACAAATGTTTCTGGATTACCTGTACATTCCCGAAAATTCTGCTCTGTTTGAACGGAGAAGGAAAACTGCCAATATGAGCACATTCAGTGGGTATGGAGAGTATTCAGACCCCCTTCAATTTTTCACTTTTTGTTATATTGCAGCCATTTGCGAAAATCCTTTCACTCCGTGAGTGTTCTTGAATGGCCCAGCCAGAGCCCTGACTTAAACCCAATTGAGCATCTTTGGAGAGACCTAAAAACAGCTGTCCACCAATGTTAACCATTCAACCTGACAGAAGGGGAGAGGATCTGTAAGGAGGAATGACAGAGGATCCCCAAATCCACGTGTAAAAAACTTGTTGCGTCTTTCCCAAAAAGTCTACTGAGCAAAGGGCCTGAATACTTAAAGGGTCACGAAACACCAAAGCACATGTTTTGAGCTGTTGACAGTCGTATATGTGTCCCACACTGCTAAAAACACTATTAGGACACCTATATTTCACTAAAAAGTGTAAATAAGTTGTTTTTGCGTTATTTCAAGCAAATTCGTACTTCCGGATTGAAACGAATTTTTGAAGCTGCGTCACGGTCATGACATAATAGCGTGTATTCCAGCGTGCAGACTGGACGTCTGTACCAGAGTGTGTCTTATTACGTCTTACAGTGTGCTGCATTAATGCATGAGTAAGGCTTGGTTTAAACCAATCAGCGCGCTCTATTGTGCAACTTCATTAATATTCATTACTGTCACAGTGTTTAGACGACAGAGACGCCACGTTGTATTGGCAAAACAAGCGTGAAGTGTTGCTTTTATAGTTTGCTGCAGTTCAGTTTCGTTTTCATTTTCTCTCTGTGAGAGCGCAGCTGGAGTCACGTGTGGATTAACAGTGTACGCGACGCTCGACAACAATAACTTACGTGTCTAAGGAGGATTATTGTTTACCTGAGAGCTGTTCTCATCTGCAAACGCTGAGATCCGGATTCGCTTGTAGTCTCCTCTTAATAAAGATGCGGCTCTAGTTGCTGGTGATTGTCCTGTCTCTACAGATTTGGTAAGTGAGCGTCCAGTGCTCTTTGTTTATTCAGTTCGTATTTTATTCGTATCGAACAAACTATTGCACAGAGTGTAAACAAGTAAGCACTACAACCAAACTATAACCTCGTGTTGGATTTTGTGACCGGAATAACACACGGCTTTCTGACGCTACCTGCCGTGTGCATCTAAGTTTCCGGGAAATGCTGAGTTTTTTTTCTTTCATTCGCCGTGCGGTATCAAACATTGCATGAAAAATACACGCTTAGAGCAGTTCCTCGAATCAAATATCACGTTTGTCGCGAGGGACATGAATGAATTCCCTGAATGAAAGAGCCAAACTGCAGTTAAAGTCCACCATTTAATCATTTGGCAGATAATTCGACTACAGATGTCCATGTAAACACTGTTACTTTCTCCCCTGTGTGTGTGTGTGTGTGTGTGTGTGTGTGTGTGTGTGTGTGTGTGTGTATTTTGACTCTGAAATTCAGCGCGCTCAAACAGACACTCCCACACCAAGCTTCTTTTCTTCCTCCGACACTCCCCCCTAAACAGAACTGGACACGCCCACTTTTCTGACTTTTTCCAAAGTAGAGGTGTGAAAACACCCTGCTGAAACGAGGGGGTTTCAGGTCCCTTTAAGATCATGAAATATTTCAGTTTTTCTTTTTTAATAAATCTGCAAAAATGTCATCAATTCTGTGCTTTCTGTCAATATTGGGTGCTGTGTGTAAATAAAAAAAATAAAAAAAAAATTATGATTTTAAAAATCGCTGCAATTTAAAGAGCATTTAAGGAGGTGTGAATACTTTTCGTACCCACTAAACCAACACCGTTGGTCTTTTATTTCAAAGCTTCAGCCCAGACTCAAATATACATGTTTTAGACTCAGATAATAAATAAAATGAAACTAATCAATGATTTCTTGTGCGGCCCGGTACCAATTGATTAGGTTCGTGGCCCTGGAGTTGGGGACCACTGATCTAGGCAATGCACAGTACTTCTTATTTTGTCTTCCACAAAAAAAGCCAATAACACAGATATGAAATGACAAAACAGTGAGTAAATCATCACAATGTCTTTTTTTGTGGCTGAACAACCCCTTCCAACAGAATTTGAGATCTTATCTGGATTGATGAAAAAGCGGATTAGGCCCGAGCACTGTGAGAGAGGAACAATAAAACATTGGGTTTGAGTAAAATGATCTCACTGGGCTCGGCTAATTATATTTTATCAGTCTGAGAGTAGACATTTGAGGGCAAACTCATTATAAAATCAATCCAACTGTAGACAGACTGAAACTAACCCAAATTAACTATCATTTCGTTGAGATACTCGCAGACTGCGTTGAACGTTAGAAAGCATAAAGAACAAAGTCTCTCTCACACATAGTAGACATACGCAGACAGCCATACACACACACACACACACACATATATAATATACCAAACACACAGCATGCATACACAGGCATATATACCCCCAGTGTACCAGTGTTGACTTTCATTGAAAAATATCTGCAGATATCTCTACATGAATTTCGACTAGTCACAATTGTAATTAGAGATATCTCTAACTGAGTTTTTACAAGTCATAATACATTTAGAGATATCTTTAATTCGTCATATGTAGAGATATCTACAAATATATTTGAAGATATCTCTAATTAATTCACTACTAATCGAATTACAGTTGTAGATATCTTGAATTGGAATTCATTCTGACTAGTCGAATTATAATTATGACTAGTCAAAATATAATTAGAGATATCTCTACATATATTTATGGATAGTCAGAACAAAGGTTTAAATGCTAAAACGGCTTGCCATACTGTTGTGTGTGTATATATATATATATTAAAACTGCATACACATGACTGGAATAAAATAGGATTGTTTCTGTCATGGCGGTGCAGGAAACACTGTCTCACACATACGCATTCCTCCAGACTCCTCTCAGGATTTAATCTAAACAACAGTCAATGTCGGCACATTATATAGAAAAGCTCAGCATGGATCCTCACAGAAGCGAATGAACAGAAAGCAGATCACCCACTGACTCTCTCTCTCTCTGTCTGCTGGATTAAAGAAGCTTGCTACAACGGAGAACAAAAATCTAAATCAATACTTGTGGCGATAGAAACACATGAAAATAGGAATTATTTTCATTTTTGCCATGTGTGACAGTGAAAATGCAACGTCAAGTCAACGTCCTATATACCTATATTAGCCTAGGTTTACTTAAAGGAGAGCTATTATGCAAAAATCACTTTTATAAGGGGTTTCAACACAGTTGTGTGGCAGCAGTGTGGGAATATAACCAGCTGTGAATGGTAAAAGTGTATTTATTGTATTAATGTGACGTCACAGATACTACATCCATATTCTTCAGTCTGTGCTTGCACCTCAAACTCCTACCTTGTTACTTATTAACTGTTATGAGCGTAGAATCAAGTGTAGAACAAGACCATGCAGAATATGTGCTTCATAAGTGCTAATAAACAGCCAATATTTTACTAACAGGCAGATAATAAGCTAATAGTTAACAGTTAGAATTGGCACTTACACTAAAGTGTCAGGTTGATATATATATATTTAATCTCATCCCATTCTCAAGTGAATGCCTTGATTTATAATCATTTATGGGTAACACTTTACAATAAGGTTCATTAGTTAATGCATTTACTGACATGAACTAATCATGGACAACACATGTACAGCATTTATTAATCATAATTGAACATTTACCAATGCATTATTAATATCCAAGTCCATGCTTGTTAACATTAGTAAATGCACCATGAGTTAACATGAACTAACAATGAACAACTGTATTTTCATTAACTAACGCTAACTAGCATGAACAAATACAGTAGTAGATGTATTGTTTATTATTATATATATATTATATATATATATATATATATATATATATATATATATATATATATATATATATATATATATATATATATATATATATATATATATATATTGTTTATTATGTTAGTAAATGCATTAATTAACATTAACTAATGAACCTCATTGTAAAGTGTGACCCATTTATGCAAGTTTTTCCAGGAAAATCCCAATTAAAGATGACTTTTTTTGCTGTATAACCTACACCCACTTCAGAATGAATCCGCAAACACACTGAAAAGCCATTTAGAGAAACGTCAGAGCGAGAGTGAAATCCTGCAGTGATTGTGTGTTAATTAAGTGCTGGATAAACGAGTGTGTTTGCGTGTGTGGCGAGCGGCTGACCTCGAACCGCTCTGTGGTTACACTCGGCCTCTTTTTCTCCTTTCTCTTTCTTTCGCTCTCTCCTCCGTCGCTGCTGTCGCCAAGGACGACGGCGGCAATTCAAACAATGTTCCTTTTCTTCGGTGAAACTCGATCGCT